CCGGGGAGGGGCCTGCTGCTGGGGAGATTGCTGAGGAATCAATAATTGTATGTTTTTCATCTAAACTGAGGGGGGCAAGTTCATGAATAAAAATAGAAGTTAGTAAAGACCAAATATAAGTAAATATCCAATCATCCTAACTATGCCTGAGGGAGGCCAAATACCCTGGCTCCACATTCTGCAGGTCTCCCCCTGGCCTGACCTGCCAGCCCTCAGTCACCGCTGCATCACCGACACGGGGCAGCGATACTGGGCCTCGCTCAGACCACACTACACAGGAGGCGAGGTCAGTGAGAGTGGGGCCGGGCTGGGCCGGCCTCCGGCTGCTCTGCCCCGGCTGTGCGACGCTGGGGAAGCTGCTTGGCCCTCCCGGCTTCGAGAACTCGTCCACAAGGAGTGGGGCGGTGTTAACTTCACCGAGAGCCACAGAGGTCGATGTATGTGACACACTGAGAATGAGGCCTGGCACATCTATGGCTAAAGCTTGTCAGTCTTGTCCCCATACACATGCAAAACAATTCAAAAGGGGCGAGTGGGCAGCGCAGAGGGATCCACACGACCCGTCCCGCAGCGCAGCTGTCTTCTAAACTCGGCCACAGACATCGAGTTCCTGACCATGTGCGTCGAGTTCCTGACCGCGTGCAGTGCACATCTGCCCAAGACAAGATTCCAGAACAGTGCCCACAGTGCTTTGGATTTCATTTATACTTGTGCCAAGCAAAGAACGTGGGGACTTTGTGGATACGATACTTGCAAGATGTCATCTAGTTGCCACCTTTGTGGCTAAAGGTATGTTCAACTTAAAGAGGAACAGGAAATAGCCTCTGTTATCACAATTATTCACGATGACCTCACAGAAAATTGCTTACACAAAACCATGTGGTTGTGGAGCTTTTTGACACCTGGGGATGAGAGTCTGCTCACGTTTCCTTGAAAGCCTCACCTCACCTGCAAAGCCTTCTCAGCGCATCTGCTCTGAGAACGCAGGCCTGCTGGCTCCCTCCCATCGGCCTGTCCCAGTTTCCTCCCTCGTTAAAACGGAAACACCCCTGCCTGTGTGTGTGGGGGGGGCAAACGGCAGCTCTAAGTGGGCTTAGAGACTTTGCCTTGAAAACAGAGCAGGCACAGCAACATTTTATGAATGAAAAGAGGGTGAATTTGATGAGGTCCGCGAAGGCTCCTCCCTGAGCCCTCTGTAAGGACGCTCGGTCACCTGAGAGTTACCTATTAACTCAGGTCACGCGTCATCACTGGCTGAAAAATGAAGCCGTGTGCAGACCAAAGACGAGAGTTCAGGGTCGAACTGCAGAGAGCAAAGGACAGCGTCCTCGCTTTTTCAGAGTCAGGGAAATGAAGGGACTGGACCGCCCTGGGAGGTAGGAGTGTGAGCGTGTTATCAGAGGAGCAAGGCGAAGAGCCACAGGTGCTCCAGTTAAAAAGGACACTTGGTTCCTTACCTGAGGTCAGGAACAAAGCCCTGGGCCGCCACCTGTGCTGGGCTCGGTCCCTTGCTCCTTTCCCAGGGTGACCGTGTGCACAGTGAATGCCATACCAGTGCTATTCTGGAGGCTCTTCGGGAAGCTCCAGGATTATTGGGAATAAGAGCCCTGGTGGGCATGCTTGTTTATTAGTGTTCAATAACATTTAGATAGTACAGGTCTGGATGAGTTAGTCCTGGCTTTTTTCTAGTTTGTGACTTTGGGTGCGTTCATGATTCTTAACCATCATCATTCAGTGATGACGTATTTATTTGAAGCCCACGACACACACTTCTGTGCTCTATGAGAAGGTGGCTGAGAAAACAAACTGAAGAGTGAAAGAGCAAGTCAAGTGTCTACCGTCCTTACTACCTGGAAAGTGAACTGGCGCGTGGTGCCCAGGTTGCACTTGGAGGACAGATGGCCGCTGGCCGCTGTCCTCTTTGAGTCCCGCCATGCTCCTCCCCCGCCAGCGAGAGCCTGGGAAGTAGGAATCTGGGACAAATCGTGCCGCGTAACCCACGGCTTCCAGTACCTGTTGCCGCTTAGCCAGCACTGGCCATCTGAGGGTGTCTGTTTTACTGTGGCCTTACCCAAAGTGGGCACTGATGCTTTAAAATTTTGCCATGAGTAGAAAACTAGGATTTCTCATATTCCTAGTGAAGCTAAACATTCTCCCACTAAGGCTTTCTTTAAGCAGAAATGTAAGATCTTCATAGCAACCACCACCAGAGCACCAGGAAACACTGCCAGCGAAAGGACCCCCCAGACTGTCTTGTGCCACGGATGCTGCCATTTGTTCCTATCACCACAGAAGTGGCTGTCACACAGGCAGAGGCACCAAAGGACTCCCACTGCTAGGCTGCTGCTAAGATCCTTCACGTCCCAAGCTTATTATGAGCTTGATGAGAGCAGGGGGACTGTCTTAGTTGATTTTGAAATCCTACCCCAATGTCAGTAAGGAAAACACACTGTATAATGGTTTGTTATGAGCATACATAGGAAAACATATGGACGACGACAAAATAGAAATCGAAACCACACTGCTGAGCATCTGGTACAAGCTTAGTTCAGTGACCATCTCAGGGGCAAAGGGTCAGGAGAAGCAGCTTCTCCCCGCACCCCCCGCCCTTCTCGCCTGCCCAGGACAGCTCCAGCCTTTGCCCTTTGTCCTGGCATCTTGTCTGATGGGAGATGCCTCTCAGAAAGGTCCTGGATGGGGCAGTAACATTCGCAGTCACCCTACACCTCAGGAATGTTCCCTTCAGGGCTAGCAGGCCCAAGTGCAAAGTGCCGCCCCGACCAGTGAGCTTGGCCCTGTGCCGCCTGGCGTTCACTCGGAAAACCTGTGCGCAAATAACCCTTTTGGCCTCTAAGCATTTTTATAATATTGGACTATTTAAGCCAAGTGAGCTGCAAACAGTTAATCGTTAACTAAGAGAGCATTTCTTGGCTGGATCATACGAGAATTCTTGGTGCCATTCTATTGATAAGAGGGGCAAGGCATGGAAGGAAAGAGCAACGTGCACGAGGTCACAGCAAGTGTAAATCATTAGCTATAGGAGAGGGGCTGTTAGAGCACCAACTTCAGGTTGTTTTTGTTTTTGTTTTTTAATTAATTCTCTAACCCACACAGCTATTACTTTGCAATTAAATCTCCTGTGCAGTTAGATAAGAAAGATTTTAATCATTTAATAAATGGTTTTGGAAACTGCAAGAATAATGTATTTTAAATTGTATGAGCCAAGTCACAGGCATACCTTGGACAATATATTTTAATGGGCATAAGTTTCATGATTAACAATACTTCAGTTTCGCAGGGCAACACTCTCCCTCGTATTCAAGCCTAGACTGTAGGTCCTGGGGTATGAGAAGGTGAAGGGAATATTTATAAAATAGGTGAAAATTTTAAATGAACATTTAACCCCTTGGGTAATTAGAAGGTTGAGTGTGTAACATTGTTACACTTCACAAGTAGGACAGTATTTCATACCAGGACACACAGTTAAGATAAGACTCTAGCAAGTTCACATGATGGATTTAAGGAGAAAATCGTAATGGAGCGAATGAAGTCATTTTCTATGGCAACAAGAACAGAAACTATAGGCCCAAGACCCACATCAAAACAAAAAAGACTCTACTGGCAGAGAAGGAGAAGCACCCCCTTTATGCAGCTGAAGAGACTCACTACCACAGACGTGTCGGTGCCACATTCTTTATAAACACACCGTATGCTGGTCAGGGTCCCATCTGCACCCGGTGGGGGTGGGTAGGGAACTCGACAAACTCATGTCAAGTTCACGTGGGGGAATACATTTAAGAGAATAACCAAAAGAACGTGCCTAAAGGGTAAATAGGCTGCAATAATAAAGAGTATTTTTCTGGCACAGACCCATGGAACAAAACTGGAAGTTCAGAAGCTCGCACAGGTGTGCATAAGCACAGAGTAAGTGAGAAATGGCAATGAAAGAGAGGAAGCGGGCGGCAGCAAACAGCCCGTGAGAGCCGGCGGGGTCTACCAGCAGCCCTTGCGCCGTGGGCCGCACTGAACCCCAGGCATGCTGGCCACTGCGATGCAAGGAAAGGAAAACAAAACCGGGAAGGGTTTTACATATAGGATTTCGAGGTAGAAATAAAAGATTGATCACTTGATGAAACAAATAATAGCAAAATAAATGTGCTTTATGGGTATCAATCATTTTTCTGTCCTTTATACTATAATCTCTTAAATTTACCATTTGTCTTTTCATTTCATTAGTTCCTTTTGACACACAAACATTTTGAAAACTGTAAGGAAAAAATATCAATCCCTTCTTTAAAGTTTCTTTGCTTTGGCCTAAAAATAACTTTCTTAACACACCCAACCAGATCAATTTTCACTTATATTTTCTTATAATTTTTTCATTGTTTCTTATTTTATGTTAATTAAACAGATGAGAGGTCAGAACATGTCTCTGTCCTCCATGAGCTGTTTGATTTGAGGATGTTACTTAATCTCTTTGAGTCTCAATTTCATTTCCTTGATAAAACAGATATAATAATACCAACCTATTAGAGTTACTATGGAGATTTCAAGAAATAATTTACACAAGGCATTCATCATGGTAAAGCCTGATATATAAAGAAAGTCACTAAATGGTAGCTATGACTTTTAATGCTATTATACTGTATATTAATTAGACTTCTCAATTTCATTGATACATTTACAGACTAGAAACTAAATGGTAATGATATTTTTTTAACCTGACTTTAAAACAAATTTCACATTAATCAATCAATGCTGTAGTTTTTTTACTTTTTAAATTAGTTTTAAACCATCATATATGCCAATCATAAAGTCGCCTTAATTCTTTGAAGGCTACCTGTTAGAGACAGTCTCCTGCCATGGGGTGTTCAGAGCTGCAGCCTGAGGCCTTCAGGTGGCCAGGTAACCACAGGGCCCAGCAACATGAGGCGGCTCCTACGCGTCAGACCCCTGAGGCTGCATGGACTGGGCATCCGAACAGGGCGCGCACGCCTTACCTCCAGCAGCCCGTCCTCGGGGAGATCGGTGCAGTGAACGGCGTTCTGGATCTTTGTTTTCCCGAAGCTGGCTCTGAGCGTCCCGGGACGTAGGTGCCGCGCGATTTCCTGTCCAACACACATTCACAGAGGACTCAAGTCAGCCAAACCGCGTTGACTAGAACAGCGCTGGCGCCACGCAACACTCGGGTTATTTGTCTATGGAACACACAAGCAAGTACACATGGAGGGTACACTGGTTCCCCCTGGGAATAGCACAGTATATGAAAGACTTTAGGAGAATTTTCATCTCACCCCTAAGGCTTTTTCTGTGGCCGAACGTCAAGTCTACCGTAACCTATACGAGGGAGCACGTTAGTTACATCCCTGTCATCGACTGTGAGGCTCAAATAAACACGGACCCAGTTCATTACTGAGAAGGATTTGTATTCTAGAAAGACAACGATCTAACAACTTGATTTAAAATGAACTAGTTCAATGGCACCCATTTTAAACGCTTTTTTTTTTTTTTTTTAATGTTACAGTTGTACCAGCTTCGTACTAGCTCACATTTAGGGAGAAATGGTTACAAATAACTCATAAAATTGTGGGTGAAAATACAAGAGGTTTAAAACATTAAAGATGTAGATGTAGGAGTATTAGTGACCTACTTAAGAGTCTGTTAACATTTTTCAAAAATCCTATTTTAATTTTCAAGTATATCATATATATTTTGTACAAAAGGATATTTAATTTATGTGAATATTTACAAAATAATGAAATAAATAGCTGCATGCCCATTATACAGCTGAATTAAAATAATATTACAATAACTTCCAAGTCCCCTGGGTACCCAGCCTCATTCCGTCTCCTCCCTATTTCCACCTGGGAGCAACCACTGATCCAAGTTTTACTTAAAGATTCCCTCGTTTTATTAGTTTTCAAAACACAGTTTTTCAGACTTGTTCATGTTAATGAATACAGCTGAAGTTTGTTTGTGTTATTACTATATAGACTCCAATGTACAACAGAGACTTCATCCACTTTCCTGTCGATGGACATCAACTAATTTCTTCTCCTCCTCCTTCCCTGCCCCCCTCTCTCCTCCCTGCCCCCGCCTCTCACTTTCTCACACACCCGCACTTTCACACATACGCACGAGTTCGCACGCACACACACACACACACAATTCTGCTCCAAGCCTTCTTGTCCGAGGTGTGGCGTGAATGGGCGAGAGATTTTCTGGAACCCTAGGGCACATGCACATTCGAGTTTACCAAGTACCACCAACCATTTTCTTACATGGTTGTAATAGTTTGCCCTCAGCCACCAGGGCACAAGAATCCACATAAAAGTCCACATTTGATCGTGGGTGAGTTTTTAGTTTTGCCATTCTGGTGGGGGTGAAACAGTATCTCATGTTCTTACTTCACATGTCCCTGATTACTAGAGGTTGAGTGTCTTCTCATGTATATCCTCTTCTGTAAAATGCCCCTTCTTGTCTTTTCTCCATTTTTCTATTAGGTTATTCTTTTTTGTTTTGAATGTTATTCTTCATGTATTGTACATTCTATTTTTTATCAGTTACTTATGATGCAAATATTTTTTCCAGCATGTTGCTTGTCTTTGCGTTTTCTGTAGTAAGTTTTCTGATGAACTGAAAGAATTTCATAGAATTTTTGTCCTTTATGGTTTGCACTTTTTGTTCCTGAAGGGATCGTTCAGTACACTCAGATCATAACAACACTCTCCTCCGCTGCCAATACACTACAGGCCTTACTGTCTTGCCTTTCGCATTGAGTTCCTGGGCTACCCAGAGCGACGGACTTTTGACCACGAGGCCCGGCGGGCCTCAGCTTTCACATTTCCCATGTGGGCACCTCTCTGTCCCGGGAGGCGCCACGCCTCAGGCAGGCCCCACTCCCCGCACCGGTCCTCAGCGACAGCGCTGTTATACATCAGGTTTCTGTAGGTGCAGGGGTCCGTTTCTTGTTTGCTATTCAGTTCCACTGGCCGTTTCGTCTCTTCTTCTGCCTACATTACACTGTCATAATTAGTTAGACTTCATAATAGGCCTTCATCTGGAAGGGCAAGTCCCACCAGCTGGGGCTGCGGCTGCGGTCGCTGCGCGCTGCCGGTGAGATGTCCGGTGGAGGTGCCGCCGGGTTTTTTTTTTTGAGAAATGTGTTGACACTTGGTTTCACTTTTGATTGCTGTAAAATAACATATATGCCTAGAAAAGTAAAAAATGCTGGAAAACTAAAAGCAAAAGCCCGTCAGATCCCCTGAGGTCATCCCCTCGTCTCCCGGCAGAGTCTCCCTCCTTGCTCCTCAGGGATGCCTCACGGGGGCAGCAACCCCTCAGGGTTGGCAGGGTGATAATATGGCTGTAATGACTTACAGTTTTAACTTGAACATTTCACCTAAAATGTCATAGGGTGTATTTGAGTGTGACATTGTTATGTTACACGCTTATGATTTTGTAATAAAAGATTTTGTAATAAAAAGGGGCATTATTTGTGCTGGACCCCGTATATCCGGACAAGGAAAACAAACCGCTTCCGAAAGCCATGCTGTTTCCCGTCTCCCCAGTACGGGAGAGAGATGCACGCACACACATGACCCTCCACTTAAATGAACCGAATTGGGATGAAACTTACGAAATGTACGGATCACAGAACTTTTAAGACAGACAACTTTGTGATCAACTATTGAATATATTCATAAAATGAGTAGCATGGGGCGGAGAATCACTCCTGGCCATAATTAGTCTAATTTTGGGAGAACCCTAAGTGAGAGGAAGAAGCCCTCCCTGCACTGGAGGAAAACCAGGGCCACAGCGATGCAGGAAAGCGGGGACCCGTGGAAGGGGAGCCAGCACGGCCCCGGCCCCGCGGGGGCCAAACGGCTGCCACGCACCACAGAACATGGTCCTGGCATCACTGCCCGCCGTTCGCAGGCGACAAGGGGAACAGAACCTAAACTGAAAGGCCGATGAAGCGACCGCCCGCGTTCAGACGGCGAACAGGCAGGTTTCTGGCCATTACGGGTGCTCCCTGCAACGAGTCCTGTCATATTAAGAAGAACCTGCTAAGCCCTCTCTCTCCCTGACTCCTCTGGAACCTCAGAAACATCTCACCAAAGCTGGTGTGCAAACAGCTTCTTCCGTCCGCATGCAACTTTGAATTAGGAAGCCAGGCACTTGCCATTTTATATTCCTGGGAACTAAGGGATGTCAAACTAATTCCCAGGGAGGAACTGGAAGCTGGAAAGGGAAACGGGGAGGAGGTGTAAAGGCTACTTCCTGTAAGTCTAAGCATCCTTCTAGAACCTACGACAGGGCTCAGGGAAGGAACTGCAAAATTCAACTCAACTACTTGTGTATCAGCCTCACTGAGTGAGCCGTTGGAGAATTCACAGTGAACCCCCCTTTATAAAATGGTTCACATGGCTGAATTTCTTTGTTTCCTATTTTTAAAACATATACTCCTCTACACCTCTATAATGCAATGACTTGCATTCTTATAGACTATAATCTTAAGGCAAGATCTTCATTTATAAAGGAAAAAACAAATTATGTGCACCATAGTGCAATGTCAAGCATGTTTTCTTGGACAGAGATACGTGTGTGCATGTATATGCACGCACATGTGTGTATATATATTTTAAAGCACTCATTTGTATATAGAATATACTGAATATAGTCTATTAATGAGAACACTTAATAAGTCAGGATACCCCATTGCCTAGGTAATTCAGGTTAAAGTTGTTCCCTTCAGAAGTATCTAATTTTCCTTCCCTGAGTTTTTATTGTAAGAAGCTGTTTTTTTCTTGTCTTTAGCCTTTGTAAATAATAGCCCTTCTAAAAACAAAACCTTCCTTTCCTTCAGGGCTTATAGCTAAAAGGTAACTTTATCCTCTCCCACATTCATTTTCTCTGCCCAGTGGAATTGTAAGATAGCGCTTTCATCTTGAAACACAAACTTCGCATCGTTAGAGAGCCCCCACCTCCTCGCCGCTCTTGGCCGGGCTCGGATCTGCGCTGCGCCCGCCGAAGCCGCGTCCAGAACGCGCTGGGATTCCATTTCCTCTTACGCCATTGGACTGAAGCCATTTATAAAAACAAATGATAACTCTGGACTTCAACTAGCCTGTACGGTTAAGTATTTCAGGAAGGCACAGAAAAAGCAATTTCAAACCTGGCTCTCGGCAGTGCCTGGAGCGCACGCTGGCCGCCCCCGGCCCTGGCCTTGCGCCGGGGCTCCACGCTCAAGCCCCCCCGCCGCCCCTGCCCCCCGCCATTTCCTCGCTCAGTTTAATTTACTTGTCATTCTATTGCATGTTTTCATAAACCGACTTAAATTTTTACTGAAAAAAGGAAATGTAGAATAAATAAATATATTAATGGCATTGTTGTAAGCTTTTAAGAAATATACAGAGTTAAGGTATAATCCAATTATATGTACGTCAATGGATATTTTAATATTATAGCGGTATGTACCTGAGCGCATTCTTAAACAATGAATTTTTAAAAATCACAAAATTGCCAATTTGTGTGCTAAATATAAATATATCACCTTGTGAAAGGCTTAGTTTCCTGGATAAAAATATTTAAATTAATAAAATATATGACCATTTGCTTTATTTAATTAATAAGCTGTATCAAAAAGGGTCCTATATTTAAACAAGTGTCCTGGTCCACAGGCTTATGTAATTGAGCCACTTTCCAAATATAATCATTTATATATTTAATTCTGTTTCAAAAACCTGGTAACAAGCTAGTTTTTAACTACAACAAATTACCAGCTGCTGAGGTTTACTAGTCCGAGTGTTCCAAGGGAGAGCAGAAATGGATAACCAGCTTCCCTCTTCTCTTTTTCTCTGTGGTTGTCTCGACTCAGGGTATAGAATGTTAACCAGGTAAAATCCTGTGCACACAGAAGCATGACTTAAGAAAAGCTACTGCTCTCGCAAACACATGCGTTCTTAGCTACAGTTCCTGAGCGCGCGCCTCGTGCACGGCGTGCGCAGCGCGGAGTCCCCGAGTGCCGAGCCCGCGGCAGAGCTCGGCGGGGCACCGGCAGGGCGAGCAGGGCGGGCAGCGCGCGCGCGCGCTGCCTCCTGCCTGC